TCCCACATAATAATTTATTTATAAGAAAGAGCTACCGGTAAAACAACAGAAAAAGATAGGAAAAAGTTGGTGAGAACTCAGAAAAGAGGGATGGTGCCAATCACGTACTGCGAGTAGTGAAGCAAAGAATCTTTAAAGGAAAAAAAAAAAAAAATAACACGTAAAAAAGCTTGAAAATATGAAATATCAATTTGGGAAGCTAAAAAAATATAATAAAAAAAAAGAAAGTCCTTTCTAAATTGGAATTTTAAAATTAAGTGAAATGATAAAAAATACCCTTTGTCTTTTTTTTTTTTTAAAAAAGCTCAGCCCTCACAGGTGGCCGGCAGCCTATAGCCATCACCAGTGATTGGCCACCTGCGGCCGGCAGCTACTATCGAGCATCGGTGTGGTGGCTGCTGGTGGAGGTTTGTTGTCACATGTTTTTTTTTTTTTTGCATGGGAAAATATTACAAGAAATATGGGGGTGTGATTTGATTCCACAATCCCTTGGCCATTTGGGCCAACAAAAAGGTAGATGATTATTGGGCCATCAAAAACTTCCTAATCTTATAATGCAAACAAAATTATAAGTTGATTCTTTCACTATGACTTCAACTCATAACAACAATTTACCTGATGATGACAAGTTTTAATTGAGAAATAATAAGTCTAAATTTAATATTAAAAAAACAATTTTTCCTGATATATAACAAGAAGTAGCATGTACATTAATTAAGAATAATCATAATTTATTTGAAAATGACATGTCTTTACTGGAAAATGACAAGTCCAAACTTGAGATTAACAATGTGTCTTTTCCTGATACATAACAAGAAGTAGCATATACATTAATTAAAAATGACTATAATTTATTTAAAAATAACACGTCTTTATTGGAAAATAACAAGTACAAACTTGATATTAACAAAGCAACTTTTTCTAATACATAATAAGAAATAACATGTACATTCCCAAATAAATTATTGTCATTTTTCACTAAAAACGTGTCATTTTCAGATAAATTATGGTCATTTTTAATTAATGTACATGCTCTTATTATGTATCAGGAAAAGACATACTGTTAATCTCAAATTTATATTTGTCATTTTTTAATGAAGATGTGTCATTTTCAAATAAATTACGGTCATTTTTAATTAATGTACATGCTACTTCTTATTATGTATAATGAAAAGTTGCTTTGTTAATATCAAATTTAGACTTGTTATTTCTTAATTAAGACTTGTCATTCTCAGGTAAATTGTTGTCATGGGCTGGAGTCACAGTAAAAGAATCAACTTATATTTTTGTTTGCATTATAGGGTTAAGAAGTCTTTGATGGCCTAATGGTCATTTATCTTTTTGTTGGCTCAAATGGGCAAGGGGTTGTGTGATCAAATCCCCCCCATCACTTCTTACAATATTCTCCCATGCCAAAAAAAAAACCTGTGACAAAAAACCTCTATCGATAGCCACTGCACCGGTGGCCGATAACCGGTTGCCGACTGTCGGTCGCCAGCCACAGGTAAGGGGCTAAGCTTCTTTAAAAAAAAAAAACAAAGGGCATTTTTGTCATTTCACTAAATTTCAAAATTCTAATTTGGTAAGAACTTCCCTTCTGTCATTACATTTTTATAGCTTTCCAAATCGGCATTTCACATTTTCAAGCTTCTTCATGTGTCATTTTTCCAAGGAAAAATTGTAATAAAAAAGTTTCTTAAAATAATTAAATTATTTTGAAGTCCTCCATAATGAATTTTATTTGTTTAATTATCAAATTGTTTTTTTTTAAGTTTGTATTAACAACTGAAAGAGAAGTCATTAACAATTTAAGATGTAAGGATTAACAACTATCATGTAGGTATTGACAACACATTTTCTTAACATATCACAAAATGTAATACATGAGTTGTCAATATCTATTGTGATAGTTGTCAATTACTTACACCTTAAGTTGTCAACGATCACTTTTTTAATTATTAATACAAACTTAAAAAAAAGTAATTTGATAATTAGACAAATAAATTCTCTTGCAATAAGATCCTTTTAATATTTTAAAATAATTTAATTATTTTAGGAGATTTTTTATATTTAATTTTTTAAAGTGGGATTTTATTATAAATTGTCCACAAATGGCCACCCCATCGTGTCCATGCGGACTGTGGACCACAAAGGACATATATTGCCCACTCAATTACTTCAGCGGCTTACTTTACCCCGAACAAGCGCTATAAGGCGGAATGAGTTTGGGTGCTTTTTAGTTTGAGTTAAGGTGCACCCAGCACTCTCAAGTATTTAGTCAGGTGTACCCAGTAGTGTAATTTATAGTGTAATTTTATCCTCAAAGTAATTAAAATGGTACACTGGTATCCCATGCTAACAGATCTGTTAGTTTGACCGTTAAATTGATGAGTCAGCACAAGTTTGACCAAAATGATCTGATGTGGCATGTCTAATAAGCAGATGATGTGGAATTTTTTCAGGGTTAAGGTGCGTCCAACACCCCCAAGTATTTTTCCAGGTGCATCCAGCACCCCCAAGTATTTTTTCAGGTGCACCCAGTGGCCTAAAGTAATTTATCGTGCAATTTTGCCCTCAAAGTAATTAAAATGGTGCACCGGTATCCTATGCTAACAGATCCGTTACTTTGACTGTGAAATTGATGAGTCAGCACAAGTTTGACCAAAATAATCTAACATGACATGTCTAATAAGCAGGTGACTTGGCTTTTCTTGTTAATTCCATTGTTTTGTCTGAATATTACTCCTCTGGTCCTATTTATAAGACACTTCCAGCATGTTTCACACAGACCAAAGAAAACATTAAATTTTATTAACTCTCATTTAAATTTTAATAACTTTTCAACTTTATCCCTATTTAATATACATTATACCTCATATAAACAAAGTCAACACAATAATAAATGAGGGGTAAATTTGCACATCCATACAAAAAATTTCTCTCAGTGCCTTATAAATAGGACAAAAAAATATCTTCTCTCTCTACCTTATAAATAGGACTAGAGGAGTATCTCTGAAAAGATTTCTTACTCTAAAAAAAATTCCAAAAGCCGAAGAAAGCATTTACTGAACAGAGAAAACAAAGCAGTGGCAGACGAAAAAAATTCCACATCACCTGCTTATTAGACATGTCGGGTTAGATTATTTTGGTCAAACTTGTGCTGATTCATCAATTTCACAATCAAAGTAACAGATTTGTTAGTATAGGATACCGGTGCATCATTTTAATTACTTTGAGGCAAAATTGCACCATAAATTACTTTAGGTCATTGGGTGTATCTAGAAAAACACTTAGGGGTGTTGGATGCACCTGAAAAAATACTTGGGGGTGCTGGATGCACCTTAATCCCGAAAAAATTCCACATCATCTGCTTATTAGACATGCCACGTCAGATCATTTTAGTCAAACTTGTGCTGATTCATCAATTTAACGGTCAAACTAACAGATCTGTTAGCATGGGATACCGGTGCACCATTTTAATTACTTTGAGGGTAAAATTGCACCATAAATTACTTTAGGCCACTGGGTGCACCTGGCTAAATACTTGGGGATGCTGGGTGCACCTTAACCCTTTTAGTTTTGACCAACATCTCAAACTAACAAGATCTGGAGATTTAGATTTAATTTAATTTTTATTTTTATTTTTAAAAATAATTGATTTAATAGATATAAAATAAAAAATAAAAATAATATCCTAATTATTATTTTAAAAAAATATTTTTTATTTTAATATAATTATTTAAACATATTAAATCTGAATCTTAAAAATGTAATTTGAACGATTTAGATTGTTCAGAAGGTGTTTTGCTGCTTCAGGGTGTGTTTGGGTGACACCCCAAACCATGGTTTGGGGACCCAAACCATGGTTTGGGGAATAATCTACCCAAACACCCCCTCCAAAATCCAAAACCATGGTTTTGGAAAAAGCAAAATTTTTTTGCTTTTGGAGAAAGAAGGAAGAGTGTGAGGGCCTATATGATATATATCTTGTTATTTTTTTTATAAACATATTTTTTTATAAATATATTTAATCTTATATTTTATAAATATATATACACATTAATTATTTATTAATTATATTATCTTATGTATTATTAATTATGTTGGTAAAAAACATATTATTAACAATTTTATTCCTTCAAATTAAAATATATCATAAAATCTATTTTTTCTGTAATTATCATATTAACTTATGTCTTTGTTTTAGTAATTTGTATATATAAAAAGTGCTTCTGATAACAACTATCCAAACACTCTCACTTCTCAGAATCACTTTTTTACAAAATCTATTCTTCACAGAATCTATTTTTCCCAGAATCTATTCTCCAAAATCACTTTTCCAAACCACGGTTTGGTTTCATCCAAACACACCCTCATTCGGCCTTCCAGGCGGCGAAATCCCGTGTGACCCATCAAAGTGCTCTTTTCTTTTACTGTTTTACCTAAACGCTTTAGATCTGGATTCTCTTCGCTTGTTCTTCCATCCTCTTTCTTTCCACTATCCTTTTTTTTCCCTTCACAACCATTGGATCAAAATTCTAATGATTCAGATTTAACATCTTATAAAAATAATATTATTAAAAAATAAATAAATAAATTTAAACTGTTAAAATATGGTCTAAACACTTAATAACTGTAATTAAAAAAAGTTAAAAAAAATTGCTCTGTGATAATAATCTGTAGATATGAGCTGTTCAAATTAGATTTTAATAGTTTAAATTTATTTATTTATTTTTATAATTATATTTATTTTTATAAAATATTATAAAATATTAAATCTGGATCATTAAAATCTTAATCTAATGGTTGTAAAGGGCTAAAGAGAGTAGTGGAAGGGAAGAAGATAAGAGAAGAAGTGGAGAGAATCTAAGTCCAAAGACTTTGGGCTTCTCACTCATCGTCCAGGCACACAACTTTATTTAAAATCATTGGATCATTCTTGACAAGATATCAGTTCTGTTCTTTCGAGTCGAACACCCTGAAGATGATGTTAGTGGATGATGGCATGCCCGTTTCTTCCTGAAGATATCATGGCAAACATTCTCAAACGAATCCCTATCAAATCCCTAAGCAGATTCCGATGTGTCTGTAAACAGTGGAAAAATCTCTTCCAAACTCGATCTTTCATTGCAGACTACCTCCACCATCCCGGTCATGATGATACCCCTCCCCTTCTCTTACAATCGAATCACAGAACTGATCCTTTGAAGCTACGTTTTGTCGATGAGAAGAAGCGGGTCCGTGAATTTCAGAACCCACCTTCGATCGATTCGTTGCAATGTGCTAACCTAATCGGCTCTAGTAATGGCTTGGTTTGTGTTGAATTCGATGAATCTGGTACGTCTCCTTTTTCCCTTTTGTTGTGGAATCCAACTACTACAAAGGTGAGAAAGATACCTAGAGCTATAAATGATTTTAAGGGGAATTGCATTTTAGGATTTGGGTACTGTCAAATTATTAATGATCATAAGATTGTGAGAGTTTATGAGTTTGATCTCAAGGTTAATGGAGTGGAAGTGTATTCCTTAAGTACTAATTCATGGAAGGAAATAAAATATAAGAACTTGAAGGGCAAAAGACTTTTTCATGACACTGTCACGGTTAATGGCACTATGTTTTGGCATGGGTCAGAAAATTCCATAGTGTCATTTGACATAGAAACAGAAGAGTTTAGATTGATACCAATGCCTGTGATATACCCTCAAGCACTTACTGTGCTTACAGTTTATGAGAACAAACTTGCTATGTTTTCTATCACTGCCACTTTATTGCGGATGGAGCCTCTATTGTGGGTGATGGAGGGCACAGGTGCATCTGAGGAGGGATCGAGTTGGACTAGGAAATATTGGATCCATCCATACTCATGTGCAGAGAACGTCTGGGGAGATGACATTATCTACAACTTCAATATTGAAATTATGCCTAGACTCCAAAGGCTTCTTAGACTTGAACTCATCAATGAAACTCAACATGGAATGGGGGATGGTGGATTATTAGAGATTATGTTGATGTCCACTGTAAGAAATAATGAAATTGCTACCTGCAAATGTGGCCGTGGTCGTCATATTTTCAATCATGTGGAAAGTCTTGCACCAGTTGACAGCACCCACGTTGAAAAACCAACGTCCTAAATCTAGTTATTGCATTGTATATACTTTGTTTTAGCACTTGTTAATTTAGATCATTATGTATGTGCAAGGCTTGATGACAATATTGCTAAAGAAGCAGGAGTAGGGGGTCATTCTCAGGAACTCTGTCATGGATTTGTGTAATTGCTTCTCTCAATCAATTTCTCTCTTCTTTATCCAAGTATTCTCGAACTAGTTGTGACTGGCCAGGCCATAAGTGGGTGGACTTCACTTGTTTCTGGTGAAAAAAATAGAGGTTCCAATCCTACTTGTTAAACAAGCCCTTGGGGAGGGCTCTACTGGTTGCTCGGTACGAGTGTTAGCCTTCAACATTGGTTGGGGGGTGCCTTGATTTGTAACCCAAAAAACAAAAAACAAAAAAATTCTGCCTCCTTTGTGTGCGAGGCTTTGGCTCTCAACAAGGTGATGCTGAGATTTTGAGTCTGATGAGGTAGTCTGATTTTGAATTCCATTAGCATATTGCTCGAGAGAAATATTTTTAAAAGCTGAAATATAAAACTGAAGGATGGATGTTATTTATTTACCGTGAGCTTAAATTTTACCACAGATATAATTGTTTTTTTTTTAACCTTTATAATTGTTCAACTAATAGTCAAATAATCTTGTTACAGGACGACGTTATATTGTTTTTAAATTGTTCAGAAAAATATTGCGCCAATGAGACTAGATGGGAGCAAATTTGCTTTCTAATCTAACTGAATTGGAGACAATCTTATTTAAGGTCTAGTGGAAATTTGAGCTTTGATTCATCACGTTGTGGGTGATTAGCTCCTTCCGCTAGATCCAAACCATGTTAATATGGCAACGGAAGATATATCAAGTCCTTATTGATAAAATTATCAATTATCAATGAGCACTTTTTACCAATTTTCTTAAAAAAGTATTAATACCATATAACATCTAAAAATGCTCTTAGAAGAAAGACACTATAAGTGATTATTATTTAAGGTTAAGACACGTCTATCATTTTAAAGCATTTTATTAGGTGTGTTTAGTACTCTAAAATAGTCTTTTGGTATGTCTAGTAATTTGAAGTATTTTTCATGTGGATTCAACACTTTAAAATATTTTATAATGTAATTTTACCCTTACATTATTAACTTTTCATTTCATAAGCAATTTTTTTGTCATTTAACTCCTCAAAAAAGTTTGTTAAATTCATGTCTATCAAGCACATATTTTTTTCAGTATTTTTATATACTGAACACATGTGAAAAAATATTTCAGAATATTGGATACATACAAGATATTTTAATGTACTAGACACACATGATAAAATATTTTATGGCGTTACCCTGTTAGTTACTATGAAAAGTTCAATTTCTTTCAACTCAATCCTGTTAATTATTTTAAATTAGTGATACGGAACTAGGTCAAAAGGATCAAATCGAAATTACTTTTAAAAAATGGAACTATATATTTCATCATATACATAATACTCTTCTGGTCCTAAATATAAGACTCTTATACTAGTGTGTATAAGGGTCTTACAATTAGGACCGGAGGAGTATGTATTTTGTATTTTTACCTAAATTCTTAATTTTTTCCCATAATTGATATGGCCAAAAACCTATTATTATTATTATTATTATTATTATTATTATTATTATTATTATTCATAAAAAAAATACCTTTTCAGGAAAATAAAAATATTAACGACGCGCCTCTCTTCTTTCCAACAGGCCCGATCGATCGCGAAGGCTTTGTTCTGAAAGATTTGGGCCGGGTGCTATGAAGCCGGTGGTAATGGAATGCGACGCCTCATTTCTCCCCGGAGACATCATCAGAAACATTCTTAAACGGCTTCCAGTGAGATCCCTAATTCGATTTCAATGTGTGTGTAAAGATTGGAAAAATCTCTTTTAGACCCCATCTTTCATCGAAGACCATCTCCACCACTCCACTCATCAAAACCCTTCTCTTATTTTACATGGCCGCTCTCTTTTTAATCCTTTGGACTTATAAGAGTTAGTTCGACTAATTCAAGTGTATTAAAAATATTAACTAAATTATTTATTTATAATAAATAAATATTTTTTTTAAAAATATTTTTTACTAATTATGTGTATTAACTAAAACCTCTAATTGATTAAATTTTTTACATGTGCAATTATTATAATGATTATATTAAAATATATATATAAGAGATAAAATTGATTGAAATTTGATATTTAAAATTAAATCAAATATCAAACTAGTTTTTTATATCAATGATTTGAGGTAGTTCTTTTTTTTTTTTAAGGAAAAAAACATCAAGCTCCGAGCAGTCAAAACGCCGGGCGTTTTGAGTGCTGAGCGCTCCGTGCTCCTCAGGCATGCGAACGCCAAAGTATTCTATTCCTTTCCGGTTTTACAAGAGGAAAAAGTTTTCGAGCTTCTCGCCCATCGGTCGAGGCACACAACTTTATTTAAAATTATTAAATCACTCTCCGATAAGAGATCGGTTCTGTGCTTTCCGATCGATCACCATGAAGAAGCAGATGTTAGTGGATGCGGGCATACCGTTTCTTCCAGAAGAAATCGTCGCAAACATTCTCAAACGAATCCCTGTCAAATCGCTAGTCAGATGCCAATGTGTCTGTAAACACTGGGAAAATCTCTTAAAATCTCCATCTTTCCTTGCAGACCGCCTCTACCATCGCCATCATGATGATACCCCTTCTCTTCTCATACAATTGAATCACAGAGCTGATTCTTTGAAGTTATGTCTTGTCGATGAAAAGAAGCGAGTCCGTGAATTTCAGAACCCACCTTTGATCGATTCGTTGCGAGGTGCTAACGTAATCGGCTCTAGTAATGGCTTGCTTTGTGTTGAATTCGATGAATTTGGTATGTCCCCTCTTTCCCTCTTGTTGTGGAATCCAGCTACTGGATATGTGAGAAAGATACCTAGAACTATCAACGATTTTAAGGGTAACTGCATTTTAGGATTTGGGCACTGTCAAATTATTAATCGTTATAAGATTGTGAGAGTTTATGAATTTGGTCTCGAGGTTAATAGAGTGGAAGTGTATTCCTTAGGCACAGATTCATGGAAGGAAGTAGAATTTGAGAACTTGAGGGGTATAAGACTGTTTCATGAAACTATCACTGTTAATGGTACTATGTTTTGGCATGGGTCAGAAAATTTGATAGTGTCATTTGACATAGCAAAAGAAGAGTTTAGATTGATACCAATGCCTGTGATATACCCTCAAGCACTTACTGTGCTTACCGTTTATGAGAACAAACTTGCTATGTTTTCTACCAATGCCACTCTATTGCGGATGAAGAAGGACCCTATATTGTGGGTGATGAAGGAGGGCACAGGTGCATCTCAGGAGAGACGGAGTTGGACCAAGAAATATTGGTTCCATTCATACCCAGGTTCAGAAAAGGTTTGGGGGGATGGCATTATCTACTACTTTAATATTGAAATTGTCCCTAGACTCCGAAGGTTTGTTGGATTTGAACTCAATGAAACTCAACATGAAGTGGAGGATGGTGGATTATTAGAGATTATGTTGATGTCCACTGTGAAAAATAACGGAATTGCTACCTGCAAATGTGGCCGTGGTCGTCATATTTTCAATCATGTGGAAAGTCTTGCACCAGTTGACAGCACCCACGTTGAAAAACCAACGTCCTAAATCGTAGTTATTGCATTGTATATTTACTTTGTTTTAGCACTTTTTAGTTTAGACCATTCTGTATGTGCAAGGCCTGAAGACAATATTGCTAAAGAAGCAGGAGTAGGGGGTCATTCTCAGGAACTCTGTCATGGATTTGTGTAATTGCTTCTCTCATGCAATTTCTCTGTTCTTTACCCAAGTATTCTCGAACTAGTTGTGACTGGCCAGGCCATAAGTGGGTGGACTTTACTTTTTTCTGGTAAAAAAAATAGAGGTTCCAATCCTACTTGTTCAACAATACCTTGGGGAGGGCTCTACTGGTTGCACGGGACAAGGGTTAGCCTTCAACTTTGGTTGGGGGATGCCTTGATTTGTAACCCAAAAAACAAAAAACAAAAAATTCTGCCTTCTTTGTGTGCGAGGCTTTGGCTCTCAACAAGGGGATGCTGAGATTTTGAGGCTGATGATCAGCTTATGCTTAACTCTGGTTTATGAAGTAGTCTGATTTTGAATTCCATTGGCATATTGCTTGAGAGAAATATTTTTAAGAGCTGAAATATAAAACTGAAGGATGGTTGTTATTTCCGTGAGCTGAAATTTTACCACAGATATAATTGTTTTTTTTTTTAACATTTATAATTGTTCAACTAATAGTCAAATAATGTTGTTACAGGACGACGTTATATTATTTTTGAATTGTTCAAAAACATATTGCGCCAATGATACTAGATCGGAGCAAATTTGCTTTCTAATCTAACTGAAAACAATGTTAATATTGCAACCTGTATGGTGCACTGAGAACCTGGTGAATTACATTAAAAAAAAAAAAAAGGAAAATTGTACCTTTAACAATTTTGTTAGTGAGAATGAGATGCGGGTACAACATTTATAGAGTACCAGTAGTTTCTATGTATAAAGATATATCAAGTCCTTATTGATAAAATTATCAATTATCAATGAACACTTTTTACCAATTTTCTTAAAAATAGTATTAATACCGTATAAGATCTAAAAATGATCTTAGAAGAAAGAAACTATAAGTGATTATTATTTGAGGTTAAGATACGTTTATTACTTCGAAGTATTTTATTAGGTGCGCTTAGTATTCTAAAATAGTTTTTTGGTATGTCCGGTAATTTGAAGTATTTTTTATATGGATTCAACAATTTAAAATATTTTATAATGTAATTTCACCCTTAAATTATTAACTTTTCATTTCATAAGCAATTTTTTTGTCATTTAACTCCTCAAAAAAGTTTGTTAAATTCATGTCTATCAAGCACATTTTTTTTCAGTATTTTTTTCATATACTGAACACGTTTGAAAAAATATTTCAGAATATTGGATATATACAAGATATTTTAATGTACTGGACACACATGATAAACTATTTCATGACGTTACCCTGTTACTTACTATGAATTAGTGATACGGAACAGGATCAAATTGAAATTACTTTTAAAAAATGGAACTATATATTTCATCATACACATAATCTATATTTTGTATTTTTGTCTAAATTCTTAATTTTTTCCCATAATTGATATGTCCAAAAACCAAATATTATTATTATTATTGATAAAAAATACCTTTTCAGGAAAATAAAAATATTAACGACGCACCTCTCTTCTTTCCAACAGGCCCGATCGATCGCGAAGGCTTTGTTCTGAAAGATTTGGGCCGGGTGCTGTGAAGCCGGTGGTAATGGAATGCGACGCCTCATTTCTCCCCGGAGACATCATCAGAAACATTCTTAAACGGCTTCCGGTGAGATCCCTAATCCGATTTCAATGTGTGTGTAAAGATTGGAAAAATCTCTTTCGGACCCCATCTTTCATCGAAGACCATCTCCACCACTCCACTCATCAAAACCCTTCTCTTATTTTACATGGCCATCCTCTTCTTAATCCTTTGGACTTGTATATGCTCAATCGCGAGATGCAAGTCCTTGAAGTTCATCGCGCACCTTCGAATGAATACTTAGCTGGTGCTGTAATCATCGGTTCTATCAATGGCTTGCTCTGTGCCAGACTCAGTAACCCATCTCAGTCCATCTTATTATGGAATCCAGCCACAAGAAAGGTCAGACTGGTGGCCAGAACTGTTAATTCTACTGAGAGTTTCAAATTGGGATTCGGGTTCAGTTCAGTTGTTAATGATCACAAGATTGTGAGTATTGGTGTTTTTGTGCCTAAAGATCTGATTCATCGGGTGGAAGTTTATTCACTTAGTACAAAGTCATGGAAGAACGTGGAATTTGAGGACTTATTAAATGGTGTAGCTGTTAAATCTGATGGTTTCTGCACAAATGGAGCTATCTTTTGGTTTGGGTTTAAGCCAAATGTTGGCCATTTGTTAGTTTCATATGACATAGGAACAGAAATGTTTACCTTCATACCATCGCCTATTTCAGCCCCTGCATTACATGATTCATTTTGCAACAGTCTTACTGAGCACGAGAATAAACTTGCTATGCTTTCTCACACTACCGTTGGAAACTTTGAATCTTCTTTGGTTGATTTGTGGGTGATGGAGGAAGGTACAGGTGCATTTGGGGAAAGATGGAATTGGACTAAGAGATATAGTATCAGGCACCCATGCATATTACTTCCAGGGGTTATATTTAGGAACATGATCATCTGCCATTTCTATGTATTGAAATCACGCGTTACTGCATCTGAACATGAAGTGCTGAATGATGGACCAAATATTGTTACAGTCAATCTCACTACTGATGAATTGAAGAGGTTTACCTTCCTCAAATGTGGCACTGGTTTTGGTGTTTTCAATTATGTGGAAAGCCTTGTTCCGGTTGGCAACAATGACACTGAAGAGCTTTGACACTAAATCTTAATCGTTATACTGCAGATTTACTGTAAGACATTTTGCTGCAGGTTATTTTGTACATGTGAAGGTTTGATGCCTTTTGGAGATTTTATGGAGAATTGGAATGGTAAACGCAAAATATTTTGTACATATGAAGGTTTGATGCCTTTTAGAGATTTTAGTGCATGATGTTTGTAGCTTTGTTGAATCTACCTATCTATATATGCTATCCTGCTGTTGGCTAGATCTCAAGAGTTTCGTGATGAGCATCAAGAGCTTCAAGTTCTATCGTGATTGTTCCTTGCTAAATCATGTTATCTCTGATCTTTAATATAAAAGATAACTAATTTATGAATATTAAAAAAAAAATTTAAGTTAGTTATTTGAGTTGATTAGAGTAGGACGTGTCTTCAGGCTCAAAGAGCACCTACCAACAAGGTCCCTATATTAACAGTGAGATTTGAACTCACAACCTTACAAGTTATGAATCGATTCCTTACCAACTAGATTAATATGGTTTTGTTTTATTTAATTCCGGGTTACGTGTTCAAAATGAAAGTGTTGGAGATTATCGTTTTACGTAAAACCAAAGTCGGCTTGAATCAGCTAGATTCTATACTTGGTTATGAGTATTATTGACTGATATTTAATTCTAAATATTTTTCTCCTTGATTTCATATATCTGAATCAGATCTTAGAGATTAGATCAGATTCAAATAGTTTGATGTGAAGGGGGTAACGGTTTGAGCCCTAATTCAATCTATACATGTATTGGCGTAACATTCTGTTGAATAATAAGGGGGAAAAACAATCATTTTCCATGTTAATATTTTCAAAAAGTAAGAATTGAATTTTTCCTTTTTTCAAAGTTTATGAGTCCTTCAAGAACGATCCAACCAAACAGGAAGAGCAAGACGATGAGCAGTTACTTGAGAATAAAAGTAAGAACTTTTTAATAATAGTAAATAGGTTTGGACATTTCGGAATATGAATTCCATTGCCATTTTTCTTATGAGCAATATTTTTAGAAGTTAAAATATAAAACTGAAAGAGTTTTATCCTTTAAATTAGTTGGAACTTGCATTTTTTTATTTTTGCGTATAAAACAAACCTACTTTATTATAGGCTAAAGTATATTTTTAGTCGTTTAATTACACACAAGGTTTTATTTTAGTTCCTTAATTATAAAAAATAAATTTTTAGTCATTTAACATAAAACTGTTAACTAAAAAAATATAATATTGAGCTCTTAAATATTAATAAAACATTACTAAATACTAACATATTAAGTTTAATTTTCAAAATAACTATTATTATTACCAAAAAAATTATTGTTTAAGATAACAATTTTAGGATTAGAAGATTACAAGTGTACTTTTTAAAATTAAGAGACTAAATTGAAATCTTACATAAAATTAAAGGATTAAATAAATGTTTTAGCTCTTTATTATGTTAACATTATTAAGGAAAAAAAATAAGTTGATCTGAGGAGTTCAAATTTGCCACTGAAATGAACGTTTAACTGATTAGTTGTTTGCAAGTATTTTTATTTATTTTTAAGTCTATCTTGATTTTTAATTAGAAACGATTTAGCGATAGTAAATGGGAAAGCAACAGCACCCAACCAGCATCTTCTCCCACCCGATTCCCGCAAAATCCCAAGTTACCCATTCTTGGTGCTGTGGGATGCGTTCTTCTCAGTCGAGCACTATGAAGCAGACGATATTGGATGGCGACACACCGTATCTTCCTCAAGAAATCATCAGAAATATTCTGACAAGAATTCCGGTAAAACCCCTAATCCGACTTCAAAGTGTCTGTAAAAATTGGAAAAATCTAATCAAAACCCCATCTTTCATCGCTGACCACCTTCACCAACCTGCTCATCACAACCGTTGTCTTCTTTTCCAACGGAGTGGTCGTTCCTGTGGTGTTTCTTTGAACTTATTCTTGTTCGACTGCGAGAAGCAACTCCATGAGGTTCACAATCCTTCCCGAGATGGGTTCCTTGCCGTGTGTGGTAGGATTGTCAGTTCCAGCAATGGTTTGATTCTCTATGTAAAAAGTTCTCGTTATGGAGGCGTTCTTCCGTTTTTCTTGTGGAATCCATCGATTAGAAAGATTAAACAGGTGTCCAGGAAAAAGTATGATTTTGATGGTAATTTCTATATAGGATTTGGGTACAGTCCAATTGTTGATGATTATAAGACATTGGTAGCTTATGTTCCTGAAGGTGGGGATGAGGTTGATCAAGTAGAAGTCTATTCATTGAGCACACAAAGGTGGAAGCAAATAGAATTGCGGAACTTAGAAGGGGTGTATCTCTGTTCTGAAACTATCACTGCTAATGGAGCTATGTTTTGGCGTGGGTCAACGTTTGTTATGAAGGATTGTCAATATTCTTTTGGTTTGGTAGTTGCATTTGACATAGCAATGGAAACCTTTACTTTGATACCACTCGCTGCTTTAGAATCTAATTCAAAGGATAAGCTTACTGTGCATGAGAACAAACTTGGTGTGATTACACTCGCTAGAGAGTCTACACTTTTTTCAATGGATACTTATTTGATTGATTTGTGTGTGTTGGATAAGGGAATGGGTGCATCTCAGGAGAGATGGAGTTGGACTAAGAAATTTTCTATAAGAAGAACCTTTCTAGACTCCCCAGTTCCATTAGGTTTTTTGGGGGATGGATCCATTATGTATTTGGGGGGATGAATTGGTCTGCAACACTTAATGATTGGACTAAGAAATTTTCTATAAGAAGAACCTCTCTAGGCTTGCCAGTTCCATTAGATTTTTGGGGAATGGATCCATTAGGTATTTTGCGGGATGAATTTGTCTGCAACACTAATGATATGTCTGGACACGGTGAAACTGAGCGTGAAGACAACACTGAATTGATAACTTCTCTATCCCTGTTAAATCTTAGAACAAATGAATTGAAGAAAATTGCTACCAGCAGATGTGGCAATGAATTCTCAATTATTTTCAATCATGAAGAAAGCCTTGTACCAGTTGACAGCATCCACATGGAAGAGGCTTGATCCCAAATCATAATGATTACGTTGTAGATTTTTGTTTTGTCTGAGCACTTTGGTTGAAATGAACCATAAAAGTTTAAATCATGTCGCATTTATAATCCTTGTTGTCCTAACATATCATCTAGAATGTTGAATGCTTATTAGTTCCATATGTTTTTAGCTTCATGAGGCATATCATACTAGTTGCTGATATACAATTACTTAGTTGCTGCTGTTTTTTTAGTTCAATAAAAACCACTGGGATCATTGAAGAACAGATTTGATAACTATAGTCAGCACCATCTGTTAACATTCTTTCCAAATCTCTGGAAATTGGTTTGATAATTTAAAGTGCTTATTTATAGATATAAATTAAAAATAACAATGATTTAAGAAAACGAAGATGAAAGCATCATTGATGTTGGAGGGGGGCTGGGTGTGTGTTTTTGTTTTTTTTTTTTGGGGGGGGTCAAAGTGTGTGTTTGTATTTTAAATATACGGTGAAAACAAAATCTTTCTTTCAATCTCTTTGGCTAGTATCCCCAAGAGGGGGTTGGATAACAAGCAAAAATCATAGTTTGAAGGGTAAAATCATGATTTGGGGATTTCAACTATTAAACATGTTAATTTGTTAATTTTTTGTAAAATCACTTTTTGGTTGAAAACCATGGGCTGGAAAAAAAAATAAAAAAGGTAGCCAAACACCATGATTTTTGGCAAAATCATTTTTTAAATTGAAAACCATGGTTTAGATATAAAATCATGGTTTTCTATTTTTTTTTCCTTTTGAAGGTATACAACCATGGTTTGGGATATAAAAAATAGATAAATGTGAGAGATAAAATGGATTGAGAATTATATTGAAAATCAAATTGAATATCCAGTTAACTCTTTTGTTAAGAGGGAGAGGGTAGGTAATATTAGTTAATTATATATAATTTATTATTTCAAACAAAAATATAAATTAAAATATATTTTCAATCCCTTTGGCTAATATCCTCAAAGGATTGTTTGGTAACAAGAAAAATCATAGTTTGGAGGTGTGAAACCATGGTTTGGGGATCTGACTATCTAAAACTGTTAATTTTTTGTAAAATCACTTTTTTGATTGAAAAAAGTAGCCAAATACCATGATTTTTTTGCAAAATCACTTTAAATTGAAAACCATAGTTTGGTGTATAAAATCATGGTCTTTCTTCTTCTTCTTCTTCTGCTTTTGAAGGTATAAAATCATGGTTTGAGATATAAAAAATAGAATAAACATGAGAGATAAAGTAGATTGAGATGTTATATTTAGAATAAGATTGAATATCCAGTTAGCTCTTTTATTAAGGGGGAGAGGTAATATTAATTAATTATATATATATTTATTATTTTCAAAACACAAATATAAATTAAAATCTATTTTTCTATAATTATCATATTTTAACTTATACCTTTTTAGTAATTTATACATAAAAAAATAGTTATGATGACAACTACTCAAACATTTTTACTTTATCAAAATCATTTTTTCATAAAATCTATTTTTCTAAAATCTATTATGCAAAAGATTTTCTAAACTATTATTTGGTTTCATCCCAAACATTTTGTAAGAAAAATAAAAGAGAAAATCACAAAAAAAAGACTGTTGAAATTGAAAAATTGCATACAAGGACCCTTATATAAAAAATTACCATTAAAACTCATACTATTGGTGTCCAAACCCATACTAATTTTGTATGGATCCTTGATTTGTAATTTTTTTTATTTTGACGGTTTTCTTTTACGATTTTCTCAAAATAAAATCGCTTCTACGATGGGCCATTCTTTTAACTTAATATTTGGTGTGGTACTGTATATTTTACTAATTAAATTCTAATTAATCTTAACTTAAATAATCAAATCAAATTAGCATTACACTCTTACCTTTAATTTCCTTTTATATTTAGAAGGTTATTTTAGTCTTTTAATTGATATCCAGAAAATTCTTAATAAGGCCTCTGTGACTTGATTAAGAATTTGTTTTAAGTGGAGGCCTATAGTTGGATTCGTTGTATTTAATTTTGATTTTCTCCACTTAAATTTGTATGCGTAATATTTTTTAAATTCAGAAGAAGGTTAAAATTGAATAAAAGTTGGTTTCATATGAAACGAAA